GTATCGGCTTTACTGGACGTCGGACTCGATCTGTTCATCGACGAGTGTGAAGGTTGACACCTATGTTTTTCCGATGGGATGGAATTCACAGTACTTGTGGATGGGATAGCAAAAGTGTCCAGTAGTATGTTTAACGGAATTGGTCGGTGACTGATACCTTGCACTGAGTTCGTGTGCCTTAGGTGTAACTGGTTGCGGTGCCGCCTCCACGTTTCCTCTTGTACCGGTACATTGTAAAGTACTCGTCCTCGGCGAGCGATAACAACGGCTTCAACCCATTCACTATGCCCGCGTCTGTAACCCCGAGCACATACCGTGAAACCACAATGATCTTTAGTTTCGGAAGGTAGGGGTGCTTCGCTTTTTGGGATGAGGGCATCGTGCACTATACACAGTCTACGGTCCCTCAAAGCTTCGGCTGGAAAACGATCCTCGGGCGTCGCTATATTTATAGTAGTTCGATACATAAACAAGAAAACTCATAGTAATTCATCGATAGTCCCCTCTCCACGCGACTTCAGGGGTGCTCGCTTGTAGCGCCGAAACGCTCAGCTTGACCGTTCGATTAAAGGTGATAAAGGGGCACGTTTGTGTTGTATGTTCAGACGTGAGCAGAAATTGGGATCCATTGTCTGTAACAACCAGGTCTGACAGGCCGTGATGGCTGAAGACGTTTCGATTGGTGGGAATCTTGCAAGTTGCGGTTGCTGGACTGAGCGCTACCACTTCTGGCCACTTGGAATAGGCGTCGTCGACTACGACAGATGCCAGAAATGCGAGTGTTGAACAAGGATGATGTGTCATCGGAAATCGACATCATCTGCATCGTGATCGCAGTTCGGCCGGGAGGATAAAGTTTGTTTACCGGGCATGTTCTGCTGGGCCTAATTTCCGGAGAAGTAGACGGACTTTGGTCTAGTCATACCGGTTGGCCAGTTCAACCGAGACGATATCCTCGTACCGCTTGTACCGTGACTCGAATGTCACACCAACTTGCAGATCAAACTGAAAATCAGCCATGTTCTTGGCGATCTGATCCACTGATGATAGTTCCGCGGAAGAAGGCGACCCCATAGTGGAGAATTTTAAGACCCGCATCTCCATTAGCTTGATCTGTGCTTGCTTCATATGCTTCAAGTCTGCGTCAACAGCCATGGTTGAGGAGAGCAAAACAGCACCTCTGTCGCCAGATATGTTATGTATTGGAATCGCTTCAGAAAATCACTCGAATTACACGCTTCGCGACGGCTCCGGAACGCCAAGGCGAAAAGCCAGGCTTTCAGGCTGGAAGTATAATTCTGGGACAAACCGATGATTAACAGCCGCCCAACTGGCATATTTATTGACTAGAAGATCAAAAGTGCAATGGTTGAAAAGAAGGAGGAAACGACTGATTATGTAATTGTCTCAAAGGGAATAATCAACGGAAATGGCGTTATAGAACAGTTTTCCCAGAGTAAAAATCAACGTAATCAGAGAAAACGAAATGTGCATTATTTCCACTGGTCACTGCTTACCTAGGAGGGCCGTGTTAAATCTGCCAGGTGTAGGGTGGCACAAGGCTCGAGGTGAACAGAAGTTAACTTGGCAGCGTGAAATAAAGTCACTGACGACCCGTCTCGTCTGGCTGGAGTTCATATGAATCGCCTTGTGCTTGCCTCGAGACTTTACAGGACATGGCTCGCAGTCGACACCAGTGACGCGTCTGCTGCCGTTTCCTAGTCGAAATGCCTGTTTAAAATGTGTTTGGTGCTGGTATCTGTGGGGTAATGGCTGATTATGATGCTGGGTAGTGAACGCCGCAAGGAAGCTGTCTCGTCGATGCCGCATTATCTTTGCACGATAGCCAGCTGTTTGTGACGGTATAGTGTCTACACAAAGTGTAGGCACCTTGAGCCTGAATGTTTGCTTAGGGCATTAAGGTTTTCAGGTAATTCCCCCTTCTCTCCCTCTTATTATTCTTTATTTCTCAGGTCATCATGGTTGTATTGCAGCGAAGCATCAGTTCAAATGGCTGATGTACTGTTGTTGTTGTTGTTGTTGTTGTTGTTGTTGTTGTTGTTGTTGTTGTTGTTGTTGTTTCCACTATAAAAATGCGTCACTGAAGAAAGCTTAACCTCCACAACACTATTCTAGGTACCAATGCTCCGTTCGGCGTCTACCAACTTCACAGGAATGCACACCTTAAAGGCTGACAATGTTTACAAATTGTGGAGTTTTTCATGCATCTTGCACCGGAAGACCAGTGTGTCTTCACCTCCTTCTCTAGGCAGTTCTTACATTTTCGGTATATTAGGCACTCGGCTGCCAGCGCTTGAGAGCCAACCAGGCCTGGAACGTCGGCATGGCTGCATGGATCACTGGGCAAGAGGATGAGCTAGTTGGTTCGAGCATTCTAATGTCTTCCTGAAACTGCCAACTAGCCTCTGATGTCAGCAATTCCTGGTCTTTTCCGGCAGCTTGAGAGAAGCAGAGTTGCATGTCAGTCTGGATTTTGCTAGACGCATCCCAGTTCGGTCTCTCTGCCTGCATAGCCTGTAGTCAGTTTTCCTCAGCGGCAGTTTTTAGCGACATGGATAGAACAGAGGGTCCGTTTTAATCTTATGGGTCACTGGAGACTGATTTGTCAGTTTTTCAGTGACGGATGATATTCTTGCCAACATTCGTAGTGCAACTCAGTTGCCCCACCAAAGCTTCCTGTGCTGCTTTGTTGGTTAGAAGATCCACAAGTTGACTAGCGCCGGTTGAATCTCCAAATTCATGTTATACAGCTTGCAGCATGACCGGGTAATCATGGAAATACTTGCAGCGCGGTGCGACATATCCTAACCAGGAGTCCCGGCGGGTGATGACTGGTGCAAGTGGGCTTTCCTGAGTTTGATACTCAATAACCTTACTTCTTTTTCTTTTCGAAAGATGAAAAGCGGTTTTAATTTTTTCAACGATTCCATTTTCTTCCGGATGGAATTTGCGAAGGGTTTCTCCAATCAACTTGATACAATTTGCAGCTCACCTATTGTGAACCTCAATCTCACAAACAAAAGGCATCAACACTACGTCGGTACGCAGCACTGACGTTTCGCTGCCGCGCAACCACTACCAGTCGCACGTAGGCTAAGAATACTACGAGGGTCGCCCGGTCCCCTACGCTGGCTCGAATTCGCGCCCTCGGATTACGATGCAGACTTATGATTCTTAGGGTTACTAACCGAATATCCTCACAAGCAGGCTTAATGACATCTCGGTAGCATGCTGTCATATATCTTGTACCATCAGACACAGGAAACGTCACACAGCTGGACTGGATACCTATCATTGTCAACCTAAGCAGAATGGCTCCTCCAACTGTGGCAGAATTTATTCCCTCTGAGTTGAACGTGTCGATGGGTATACTCGCAGAATCTCCTTCCTGGACTTCAGTAGTGAACTTAACAAGATGTGTAGCTCCATCTTCCCGCAAGTATCAATTGTTTCGTCTTATGACGCTGCTCGTGTTTCCCGTATTGGTGGTGAGTTTCAAGGCGTAGCTTGTTAGATCCAAAATTGCTTCTATCACTTCTTATGTGTCTGTGAACAAATTCCCTCAACTGGAGGTTGCCGGCATTCTACATAGGATTATTCGCAGATACCATAGCAAGTGACAACTCATACAATTGTGTCGTGGGCTTCTTGGGCAGCATTTGCAACGGCGATGGAACAAACGACGCTTGCTTGTGGAGCTTCCTTCAGAACTGATTGCTCCTTGGGAACATGTTTTGCTGCGGGATCCTCGTGAGTTTTATTCTGAATGTGCTTCTGGATGCGAATATATTCGACCGCGGCTGATTTTTGAGATGGATCCACACGAAACATATAACGGTACTTTTTTATCCGCGTTATCGACCTAGTATTCTCCTGGAAGCTTTTCACCCTGTCCAGTGTAGTTTTTCCTCATAAATCTTGCTTTATTTTGTTACATAACATCTGCACAGTTTAGTCGTGTTGATTATAAAAACGAATTCACAGTGGTTTTCTTTATGCATTTTTTCATTTTTTGTATGATTCTGCAAATTTTGCCTTGCCCGCGATTTTTCTGCGTCTTCGCGGAATCGTGCAAAACGTGAGTCTTTCTCGACTTTTATATGGGAAGGGAATATCCTTCTCCCTCAACATCTGACCACTTGACCACCTCATTGTTCCCCCTGTGCATCCTGTGCTTACAGTTGCTACCACTGATCGAGGCTGGTTGATTGTTAAACGATGGTACTGTTTTTGAAGAGATTCGGAAATCCCAAAACATTGCACTGGTTACGTCACGTTTGTTGAAATTTCATCTCACGATTCACAACATTTGACATTTAGTTGCGAACGTTGGCTTGTGTCATATAAATTGCTAGGCATTCTACTCGTTGAGGTTCACTTGTTCCCATTTTTCGCTATTCTGTGGTACGTAACTGACAGTTGGTACTGTGTGTTCGACGTTTAAAATCGTCCTGATTTTATTCATTTAAAGTAACAATGACTATCTCAAATGCACGTTCACATGACACGCGATACACTTAAGTCTCATCCGGTTTGGAGAATAGCGCTGGTCAACGCTCCCGTTCGCATTTTTTTGTTTTTTCTTAGACCATCCCTTCATGTGACCCTCCCTCACTGATGCATCTGTTCAAAACAAACCCAGTCTTTCTCGAAATCACAATAGGATTATTGACACTAGGGTTTTTCGTGATATTGCTTATAACTCCACACTTGGATTTTGTTTCCGTGCACAGTTTCTTTTAAATACAATGTAGTTAATCTCCGATTTTCTTCTTGTACTACCCACTTGTAGGCATTTCATTTATCAGAAGTTGCTCCCATCGCAGGAGCCTCCACGTGTTCAGTAGCTAGGGCTTGATTTTCACTTTTACACAGTGCATTCGGCTTCAACCATTAAGATCATATCTTATCTTCCTTAGCGCCACCATAACTTTCCCACTTTTTCCGAACTCTGCTACTTTACATCTTATCTCTTCCAGTGAGGAACTCGATCATAGAAGTGTCACCGTTTCATCTACTATGTTGCAGTCTGAGAGCAGCAGACGAGAGTCTTTGATCCTTTGCACTACCCTTGGAAACCTCCGGTTGGTTGTAGTCGGTGGATCCGAAATGGACTCTACCACCATTTCGAACGAGATGTAAGTGTGCCGAGGTTTTCAATGCCGTCTTCTCTCTTTAAGTGTTACTGTGTTGCGAATCAAAGTGAAGAGCACGATTGCATTTTTAACTAGTATCGATTGTTAACTATCACACGGCATCTGAGCCACGTGTCGCGCATGCCAGCTCACTGACTCCCGTGACGTGCGTTTTCTGCTCGCCGGAGGTGCAAATGAAAGAAGAGAAGAGGTGTCGAAGTGATGACTTGGTCAAGAGGAATGAAGGCCCTTACTTCGAAGTTGGCCTCCGTTGCCGCCCCTCGGCTTCTTGCTTGGGGACCGAAGGACGATGAACACGTTTGGTTGGATACACTTGTTAACATGGCTAAGAGCTGACCTCGATGGCGTTTGTGTTGTGAGTTTCTCTATCCCTCGCCCTCCTGCTTAGCCTTCCCTCCAACCACGATCTCAATTATTAGGTGTAATATGATTTTTATCAGCACATTAGCCGGCTGTTAGCTCTCTGAGAACGATGTCTATCCGTTGCTGATGGCTCAGCCGGCGTGCTTCTGTTGCATGCTCTTTTCTAATGTATTGCGGTACAATATCTGAGGTGTTTTCCACCTGTAGCTAACGTGTATAATGAATGAATGATTGGCACTCCATCTGATCAGGTAGCATCAGTAGGTGATTAATGTTTAAACTCGCTCTCCGTGGCACTATAAACTCCAACGTACTTTGTGCTTACTTTCGTCTTCATTCGCAGGTAACACGGGCTTTCTCTTTCTTGACATTATGCATTCTATTTTGATGAATATGATACCAAATCTCAGGCTACTTGATGAATGAATTCGGCTTTGGGGTTTTTGCTTATCGGCGGACACATATCCCTATCACATATCCGCTAAAGCGCTTTGTGCTTAAACAAAAATGTGTTCAGCTGATTGAAAGAAGCGCCTTTGTAGTTTTCTTGTGTGGGACTGAAGGACAGTCAAAATTAATTGTTCCGTTAACCTCTTTATGGAGTTACACTTGATACATCTTCACAGGTATGCTCATCTATTTTCAGCCTACAGGGTCTTCCGGCTTCCAGTTTGGAGCGAATCAGAGCAGTTGCCTGGTTTGCCGACCTCCTTGCTTTCGGAACATCCGATGGGTTCATCGTTTTGCGCGATCTCTGCGGTCGACGGACTCTCATTCGCATGAGCTCCGGTCTTGGGTGGCTTGATCAACCCGATACGACCATCGTGACGAACTCATCTCTCCTCGACCACCGGCTCTACATATCGACGCTGAGTGCCTCCAGCCCGTGTGACACTGGGGTTAGGCGGTTGTGTTTCCTTCCAGATTCGCCTGCCCATTCTCTTTTACTGGCTTTGACGCATGATTCACTGTTTGTTTGGCAACCACACGATGTAAGTTACTCATGATGCGTCCGCCTATCCTATCACTAGCACGCTGCACGTTTCCGTCGTAGGATCTCCTAATCTTCCGATGCATGATTATTGTTGTCTGCACACTTGGTAGTTTGAAAATACTACCCTTGGCTGTACGCATCAGTCACCGTGGCTTGTTGCTGCAACCAACGACGCTGGCAAACTTATTTCTGCCGCTGCCTGCCAATTTCGCCCCATCTGACTGTCTTATGTTGGTGGTGAGGTCAGCGTCCCATCGACATATATGCATCTATTTAATTGTAGTCTGAACTTTGCAAAAGCCAATTGGCGCATTTATTTGGGTTAATAGTGCCCTCTAAGATAAAGTACTAATTCTGAGACATTCATCAAACCGTAGATGTCATCCCAAAACTAGCTACAATCATGCAATTGTCATCAGTCCGGCCCAGTAAGAGTATGACGGCAACTAATTTGGTTAGTATGGCCACTTTCTGCATCTGCTACACTTGCGCCACACAGACACACAACGTGAGTTGCTTGACATCCAAGGGTTATAGCGTGTGTTATACACTACTGGTTCACTGTCTTCCGCTACTAAGGGCTGCGCATAGCTCCCGTGTATACTCGGTATGGTTGTCGGCGACTATCGATGGACGAGCGGTTCAGGCATCTACCCCATAACCCAAAGGTCAGTGATTCCATTATACCTTGGCTTGGGATGACCTCGAAGTGTCCTAGTCCGCACGCGACTTTTTGTGGTCATGCGGCAGAGAAGCCTCGGTATAACTCACCGATGCACTACCGACGCCTTGTTGGATGATCACGAGTCATACTTTTCCATCTTCATTCGCATTGCCGCGTTCTGCCCGCTGGCGCAGCGTACCGTATCCTTACCAGAGGCGCACGCCTGAGCAACCGATAGTTTTGGGTTGTGTGCAGGTACCTTAACAACAACTTTCTGCATGCCTGCTGGCCTACAGCTTCATGGTCTTTAAAGCATAATATCTCCCACATTGAAATAGCGTGTTGTGGTTGTCAATGCGTAGGCACCTATGTCGGTGACACTTTCGCTTCTACGTATGCCGACGATCTGTCACAAAGAGACTGGACCTGAACATGGTGCGACGGTTTGCGTACCTCCTTGACGCATTGAGTTATACTGGGTGGTGTCTGCGGGCATCCTGAGAGATACTCCTACCAGGTTAGTCAATGGTGAGAGGTCAGACAAATTCAGTCTCCTGGTCCTCCAGCTCGACGGTCTGAAATGGAATGGCGTCCATTTCTATAGAACTATATCACTGTCACCACCCCGCTGTCTTGCGAACAGGCATTTGAGCCAAAGGCTTTGATCGAGGACCCTAGTCGTCCTCCTGTCAATGTCTGGGCGTCCTGGCAGTATTCCAACCCATATACAACCATGACATTTTCTTCAAACATAAACTTCATCCTGCATCGGCCGTCGCGCAAATTATCAATGGTCGCCTTATCTGATGCATACAACTGGGCGGATAAGCAAAAACATGTTATTGCTGGCGCCTCCCTTCTTTCTTCTCCACCTGTTTCTCTTACTCCCATCCCGACCCCCATTACTCATATTTCTTCTATAATTCCCAGCTTAATTAACAGCAACCGAAGTGCCACTGGAGTAAAGCCATGTGCAGCCACCTCGCGATACCCACCGGACGCCTATCGGCAACAGGCCCTTGTTAGGCCACGTTGTCCCCTTTCCATGGCGGCTTTCAACGTTTGCACTCCAAGACAAATCGGTCAACAGGTTGCGCCCATACGCACGTTGGACACACTAGGATTTGACGTGTGTAGTGTGTCCGAAACTAAGATCAGTAACCATAATGGGTTGTTGAATTAACTGCGTCCGGCTTGTCCTCTCGCTATTGATTGCACGCATCCGGAGACGCTGATGCAGCACTCACGGGTCAAGCTGGTGTAGATATCATTCTGGGCTTCATGATTGAGCCATAGTTGGTAGATTGGATTCTAGTGAACAGCCGTTTATATGCAGCCCGTTTGGCGACCTCAGCCAAGGTTGATTCACGAAGTAGTACAAATCACTTTGTTTGTTTGTGATTTCCGCTTATGCCCCCACCGATTGTAGTTCACATGCTGTCAAGCGCACATTCTATCACGAACTGAACGCGCTACTACACTATGCTACTGGTTCAGATATTATAGTACTTGCTGGGTATATGAACGCACAGCTAGGGCGTCTGAGCTCTTCTGAAGCTCAGCTGGGTGATAATTATGGGCTTAACTCAGAACGGACTGACAACGGCAAGCGTCTGCTGCAACTGTGTACGGAGCACCAGTTGTTTCTTAGTAGTTCTGCTTTTAGGCACAGTGGGCGCCGAAGTGCCACTTGGCGTCCTCCTGTAGCTGGCCAGCGATGGACCCAAATTGATCACATAGCCATAAGTTATAGATGGCGTGGTTCCATTCTGGATTGCAGCTCGTACTGGAGTATCTGTGTCTACTCTGGCCATGCTTTGATAATCTGTCGTTTTTCCATGAATGTTACCGAGATGCGCACCAAGCGTCTCCTCCCATTGACAACTGAGACATTATCTCAGCTCTCGGGCAATACTATCAAGGCTCACTGCATACCGAACTGGCTTGTTCTACTGACACCGAACTTCAGTGGAATAGGATCTCCGCCGCCATTCACGACGTATGTGCATCTACTTGTGGCGCTATCAATGGTCGCCGCACCAGTTACTGGATATCCGAGAAATCGGTGAACCTGTAAGAATCTAGAAGAAACCTCCTTGCTGGCTCTGAGCAGAATGCGACCAGTCAGGCTATTAGGCGCGAACTAAAGCGGAGCCTAAGTGCTGACAAGGAAGCCTGGTGAACCAGTAGGGCTCAAGAAATAGAGGAGACAGGTGCAGTAGGCAATTACCGCAAGCTCTTCCACTTGATCCGCACCAGGAAACCAGACGTCAGTGAAACAATCAGAGACCGCGCGGGTGCACTAATACACAATAAGGAGCGCCGTATGGCTCGTTGGGCTGAACACTTTCAAGATCAGTTCAGCTGGCCCCCTGCTCCTGGACCTCTTCCTGCTCAGGTGATGCAGGACGAGCCGTGGACGGTTAGTTTAGAGCCTCCGTCGGAGGCCGAGTTCCGAAACGCGATCACAGCCCTTAATCGTTTTCGTGCCGCTGGCCCGGATGCCCTACCACCTGCACTATTTAAGGATGGAGGTGAGGTCCTCTGCAAAGCACGGACTTTATTCGTATGTGCCTGGAAAGAAGAGAGCGTCCCGGCTTATTGGAGCGAATCGATTATAGGGGCAATATATAGGAAGGGAAGTCGCACAGTCTGTTCTGACCACAGGGCTATTAACCTAACGCCAGTTGTGACAAAATTATTGGCCTGCATTATCATTCGTCGCTTCACTGCGGAACGGGAATCTCGGATTAGGGAAGAGCAGTCAGTCAATCGATTGATTCTGTTCGAAATGCTTGCGCGGAAAGGTGTTCCCACGAAATATGTGAACATCCTTCGTGCTCTATACTCGATCACTACAGGCTGCGTCAAGGTCTACGGTGTCCTATCGGATTGCTTTCCGACCACAAGTGGCGTTCGTCAGGGTTGTCCGATTTCCCCATTTTTGTTCAATTTCGTTGTGGTTTCTAGCATGTAGTGTTTCCTTGCAGAATCTCACGATGTAGGCGTTGATGTGCTGCCTGGTGAACGATTAGCTGATCTTGATTATGCGAATGTCGCGGCGGCACAAGCAACCTTGAGTAGCCTGTTTAGAGTGGTGCCATTATTTCGTATGCGCTTCACACTTTCGAAGTGCAAAGTGTTGCTGTAGAACCACCAGCCATTTGATGACCCCTTGACTCTTGCTAACGAGGAACTCGAGGTGGTTGATCAATTCACTTATCTTGGCAGCTGCATAAGCAACGATGGGCACATAGAAACTGACATCAGCTGACGCATTGCAGAGGCCAGAGTTGCCTTCCTGTGTAGTATATAAGCTTGGGAGAACTCCGGAGATTGGAACTGGAGATTTAGTAAGCAACACGTAGCAAACTACAATAGAGGAAATAATGTTATAAAAAGGGAGATAAACATTACAGTCAATCTTCTTCTGCTTGCACTTCTTCCGTTAAAGCACACGACCAGTTTCCTGCAAAGCAAATGAGAGCGCAGCGTAAGCAACAGTTCAAAGTCAAGCAGCGCGCCACGATAGTTTCCGTGCCACACTACACCTGAACCTGCGGCGTCTTTGGCGACAGAAGGGAGTTTCTCTCCGTCTGAAAGGGCGTGTATACCAGGCCACAGTGAGGGCCGTTCTACTCTATGGGAGTGACACTTGGCCCCTTCGGTCTGAATATGTGAGACGTCTTCAAGTCTTTGATCATCGTTGTCTGCGAAGCATTGCTGTTGTCGGATGGCAAAGGCGTGTACGCAACGATAATGTGTGTAGGCGCGTACTAGGTAGTGATAAACATGCTAGCTCCATAGAACAACAGATAGCACTGAATAAGTTGCGTTGGCTCTGGCACATGCTGCGTATGCCTGGTCACCGCTTACCTAGGAGGGCCGTGTTAAGTCTGCCAGGTGTAGGGTGACGCAAGGCTCGAGGTAGACAGAAGTTGACTTGGCATTGGAAAATGAAGTCACTGACAACCAAACTGGGTGCCGTTGATCCGTCTTGTCTTCCGGGCTGGAGTCCACGTGACTCTCCTATTGCTTGGCTCGAGACTTTACATGACATGGCTCGCAACCGACAGCAGTGGCGCGTCTGCTGCCGTCTTCTAATCGGACTGCCTATTTAAATTATGGTTGCTGCTGTGTTATCTGCGCGGTAATGGTTGATTATGACGCGTGGCAATGAAGCCGCAAGGAAGCTGTCTCGCCGATGCCGCCTTATCTTTGCACGATAGCCAGTTGTTTTTGACGGTATATTGTCTACACAAAGTGTAGGCACCTTGGCCCTGAATGTTTGCTTAGGGCATGAAGGTTTTCAGGTAATTCCCCCTTCTCTCCCTCTTCTTATTCTTTATGTCATAGGTCCTCATGGTTGTATGGCAGCGAAGCATCAGTTCAAATGGCTGATGTACTGCTGTTGTTGATTGATATACCGACGATCTAGTCAAGTCGAGTTCGAATAGGCTTTATGCACCCGGATAGGCGCGTTTTCAGCATTTTACACTACACAATTAGAGTGGAGAAGCACATGCGATGGATGTAGAAAGGCGTTGTGTCTAGCGCAATGTGTGAACATGTAGTACTCAATCATACGATTACGTACTTTGCTTATTATGTCCTTTTGCATCAGCAACTACTTGTGACAAGTACTGTAAGTGGGATAGGATAATGCTATGGGGCAGTACGGGTATATGATACTCTAGCTTTAGAAGCTTTTAAAGAAACCGGTAGCGTTTTTGACAAATCAACGCATAGTTCATGGAAAGCGTTTTTTTTAGATCTTTAAGAGAATAACAGGTACAGACCTCTACATATTTACTGATAATAATATGAACAATGACCTCTCTGGACAACCCGCTACATCTGCTACCACTTTTTGACGACTGTGCAAACAACGTGCTGTCTTTTTTAAATTCTGCGATAAAGATCACTAGGGACCAGACGGACCAGTGGAGAAGAATATGCACAGTAGCATGGAGTTGTCCTTTCTCCCGTGATTCATCTCATCGTTCTGTGGTTGCACCTTACGTTTTACATGACATCCTTGGTTCTGCTCTTTTCATCTTATCAAACTATTTGTCACCACCTGATAAGAACCCACTTTACAGGTTTTGCAGACTCGCTTTGCTACTGGTTTTGACCTACCTGTCGTAATATTTTTTGGCTTTAGCCCAATTATCTTCGAACGGTTCTCCTACTAATCTTTTTGGTGCTTCATCCAATTTTCTGCGACTACACTTATCTCAACCAAGCGTGTTGTGTTCCACGTGCAAGCTGAACTACCTCATTCCTCTGACACGGTTTTTTTCACTAACGACTCCGCCCGAGGGAACCATGTGTTGTTATTCTTAGACATTACGGAGCATCAGCAACAAATAACCACTGCCCTGTAACCCTCTGAGCATGTGGACACATCTAATCTGCTGTAAACGAATCGCGTCAAGTCATGTAATGGTTCACCTAACATTCACCAAGCAGTCGTTTTTTTAACGTAGGCATTTCACTAGGAGCGTTAGATACACTACAATCTACTCAATGCAACCTTTTCGGTATCACGCTTTCGCATTAAGTACATTTATGCCACGTTGTTGACACTTTGTCGGGTTCATGGCTGTGATTACATCTGTTTACCATCCCTTCTACCTCCTTAGATGGTGTTACTCTGTAGTGCTTATTTTCGGGGTCACCTGCAGCGTTGTTTGATCAGCGCCGATTGGGCGTGTGCTATCTCCGGATCATCCGATCCAGCCGTATGTTTGATTGTCGGGGGTGATGGTGCACTGCGACTTGTGCGGGTCGGGGAGTCAGGTGTTGAAATGATTCCCACAGCTACTGCTAAAGACAATACAGGCTTCGCCAGCGAACCAATTACTCGGTTCTACGGAAGCAGTCCTGTCTCAGATCAAATTGAAATTTGCAGTGAGTCGTCAGCTATATGATTTCTTCCTTGCCTTTAAACTCCATGACTTTTCCTGCACCTCATTGCAATGTTTACTTGTCTAATAGCTTCGATTTGTACCACGCTCAAGTTGTAGGGGATGTTGTTTATAATCGCGCACTCCGGATTCTCGAAACTATTTTCGTTGTTCGTTTTCCATTGCGCTCTAGAACTCCAGTCGTTACCATTTTGGATACCTTCATTCCTTTAGAACCATTATTCCACTATCCCAGTCACCGTAATCGTAACCGTAGCAGGGACCCATTTTGCACCGCTATCTTTCTCCATATTCCGCTTCACCCCGGTCGTTCTTTTAGTTTAGACTCACCAGTTCGACAGACTCTGGTCACCAGACAACCATTCCGATAGTGTTTCACCATTCTAACCTTTAAGTAAAAACGTTACACACGTGGCATTGGGGAGTGCATATATATCAGAGTACTGCTTGCAGTGTCTGGCGGGGATTTTCATGATGCCGACCGCATGCAATTTTGTAAGGATCTTAACTGGATCTGAATGTTTATTTTGACTCGCTAAAGGTACAACTGTGATCAGATTCAACCATAAGTGAGTTCTTACTTGTCTGCACCTGTCTACATATGGTTTCATATTATAAGAACACGGTGCGCCAGCGGAATTGTTTCTTGTTTCAAACATAGCTTATACTAGATGCATCGGTTCTGACCAACGAAACATCCACTCATCTTTGCACTCCTTGTTGGAGTTTACATAGCGCGGGTTTCTCTCTGTGTCTATTGGTTGTGTGGTGTGCATCGCTTATGCGTCTATTCTTTGTGCGCATACATCTACGGTCTGTGTTTGGCTGATTGCCGTTTCTCATCCTGGTACCCTCATGCTACTGATAACTGGTGCAGTGGTGTCTGCCTTTAGCCCACCACGCTTCTCGTCCAAAGTGTCCGCTCCAGATGCTTTCACTCGGAGTCTTTCTGACCGTCAGTAATGCTCAGTCTGCGAATGGGGTTCCTCCTCTAATTCATGTCACTTCCTCAACTCACTGACATGCGGTCGCCGTGGATCTCCTTGCCGAGCTATTGTATGCATAGCCTACCTGGTTGAACACCTCATACGGTCCCTTCCACTTCGGTAGTTTCCTCTCCCCCTTGGGCCACAAGTAGGAGCGCGTTGATGGTTCCTATATTTTACCTTCGAACCACTCTACTCGTTTTTTACACTCCGTCAAGCGGGTGGTAGGGGGTTGTCCGCACTTTCATTATACCAAGTTTCTCCTAGCAGTTCCGGAATTTCTCACTCTCGAAGCAGGGACCCTGATCTGTTACTATGACCTTTTGGATTCCGTGATCCGCTATCCAATGTTTCATGACGGAGTGGGTTATGGTGGTCGCGCGTTGATCCGGGATTCTCGTTCCTTCAATCCAGCGCGTGTAGTGCTCCGTCATCAACAACATGTATTGGTTGCCCCGCCTGGTCAATGGAAACGGTCCCATCACGTCGATCGACCACAGTTCACCAATTTCCGATACCGGAATCGACAGCACTGGCTGTTGTGCTCCTCGACAGTCGGTTTTCAAGAGCTGACATTGCTTGCACGAAAACACCTATGCTTCGACATCTTTCTTCATGCCCGACCAACAGGCGCGTTGTCTAAGCAGATCGTAGGTCCTGTAACAACCGATGTGCGCCATCCCGTGGCAAGGAATCACCAGCCTCCGCCTTACATTCGTCGGAATGTCCGTCACCGAAGTGTTGCTATCTCAAGATCCCCGCTTCATTTACCTGCATCTTTTCAAGAATTCTCGCAAACGGTCCGATCGACTTGTGTTGGCTCTTGTTTGGGACTGATTGACCGGTTATTCGTCCGGTGATCACGCATTTGTCACTACGTTGTTCGGTAGGCCATCTTCGTTCATCACGCGTGAAAAAATGTCCGCAGTTTGGTTCTCATTTTCCGTCACAAGGTTTATCGTGAAATCGTATTCTTGAACGCACAGCGCCCATCGCACTTACTTTCCCCTGGAGTCTTTGGCAGACATAATCCATTCCAAAGGCTTGTGTTCAATTTCGACGTGAAATCGCTGACCTAGCAGAGATGACCGCTATTTATCCAACGCCCAGACGATTGCGAGGCATTCCTTCTCTATGGTTGTATATTTGCGTTCTGCCGATGTCAAAATTCTGCTGATATACTCAGTCGTCCTATGGCTTTGTATCAAAACCGCGCCGACTCCGATGTCGCTGGCATCGGCGGCCACCGCGAACATCTCTCCAGCAATGGGCAATTTCAGAGTCAGCTTCAGCCTTCCCATTTTCTGCAAAATGCGATTAAAGGCTTGTTTGGCTTCTACAATCCAAGTGAATTTCTTATCCTTATTCAGTAGCTCTTACAAGGATGAGGCCACCTTGTTGAATTTCTTGACGAATTTGCTGTAGTGCCCAGTACGGCCCAGGAAGGCTCGGTGAGTGCACTTTGAGCTAGGAACTGCGGTGCCTTGTGCTGTCACTATTTTCTCAGGCAGTGACTTCACCTCACCTTGTCCCACTTTATGGCCCAATAAGGTGACATAAGTCTTTCCAATCTGGGACTTCGGTGCATTTATACGAAGTCCCGACTGCTGTTTCCGTTCTAAGACTGCTTCGAGATGACCGCTGTTCTGCGCCTCTGATTGGCTATACACCACAATATTATCCCCATGTGCCGCCATGTTCTCCAAGCCACACAATTAGCGAAGCATTAGAGGTCGGAACGGGGCTGCCGATAATCCAAAAGGCACTTTTTAAATTGGTTTTGTTTTCCAACTGCAGTAAACGCAGTTTTTACTCGGTCTTCTCATTTGATCGCCAGATACAGATCTCCGATCCAGAACCGTGAATATTTCACCATCTAAGTTGTACGGACAAGCGCAATTAACCTACGTCGACGATCGAAGCACAGGCGATAATGGCATTGTGGCTTCACTTATCATGACTGAATTAACCGCATACCCACTTTTTGATTCACCTTGGCGTTCTAGTTTCCGCAGTCCCTCTGTTGGTGCACATCTTCTACCCTCCGGTGCGATGTCTTCGCATACGAACCATCAATGCACTTCAGCTACACATCTCGTGACTGCCTGCACTAGTGGGCTTCCGAAACAGGTGTCTGCTTTGATGGTGACCCAATAAAGTATTGGCCTTTCATACGCAGTTTCCAGTCTAACGTGATGAGCTTATCCGACGTACCTGAAGTGTTGTTATCGTATCTGATGTACTACTGTGAAGGGAATGCCAGAGAAACGATTGAGAGCTGTCCCACATCGGAACCATAGGAGGGTTTCAGGAATACGCTTAGGACGCGATTTGGTCGCTCACACCTTATTGCTCGTGCTCAAATCAACCGACTGTTAGAAGGGCAGATTGCAAAAAATAATGTTATGGATGCTCTTAACAAGTTAGCTGATCAGATGAAGGCATGTATAAATATTTTAACATCTGAACTACGAAGCGGATTCGGACGCCACGGTGACAATTTCTGCCGTTGTCAAGCGGCTACCGTATGCTTTGCAGCGGGAATGGTTTAAGAGATCGATAGCAGTAGTGCGCGCCTCCAAAGAACCAATCTTCACTGGTCTATGCTAATCCGTCATTGATTCTGCAAAAGTAGCGGCTGCGCGGTCGATGTACTCGGGAGAGAGTTTCCATAGGTGTGAACACCCCTCAAAAGTGGAACGCCCGGAATCTCGTGGAGCCCGCACACTTCAGTTTGCAGTACAAGGGGCAGTGGAGTCACGCCGGACCCACACGAGATTTTGTGTAATTTGCTCTATCGACCATTAGCTGGATCAGTGCACACAGTTTCGATCTTTAGACGCTACCTAACATCCCTCTATGTGTCCACCAATAATCTGTGATTGTTGCCTTAAGACCAACCACGTTGATACTGACTATAGATCAAGGGTCATGTGTGAATTTAACGGCCGTCGTGCTATTCACTACTCCCTACTGCTTTACCCCAGAGTGACCGCTATCACTTTGCTGCACGCCGCAGTTAATTCAACGAACACTTTCGCTAGCCGGTTGGCCCTCGGAGTCATTCCAGTAAGAATAAGATGCATCGACTGGACCAGTATAATCAGCGCTTTGCTAGATTCGGGGGCCGATTTATCGCTCATTGATGGACAGCTTCTAAAGCATCTGAAGTTAGACACCAAACCATCACCTTTAAGAGTCCTAACACTTCTCCAGTCTAGATTCAGCAGTAGCAGAGCTAGAAATTTGACCTATGGATGATGGAGAACCTGTCAGAGTGAGCGAAGTATGATCGGTGAAGAACATGCCAAAGGCGTGGCGGGTACTTCTTACCCATGGGCAACCTCAATGCTGGAGTCACCTTAAAGTGCTATCTTTCTGAATGCAGAAAATTGCAGCATCGGACTTGTACTGGCCTCAAACGCCTCGGAGGCGCGCTGGGTCCTGGTACAACGGCACGGGAATCCAACGGAGCCATTCGCTACTCGTATCCCACTTGGGTGGATGCTGGTCGGTCCGGTTGGTATGAGGAACTGTGAAAGGGCGAGTATCAACACTAAGACTACTGAATCGAACGAAGCCTACCTTCTTAGAAAAAATACGTAAGCTGGAATTTATCGAACGCAGTAGTTCTCGCCTCGCTTTTTCAGTGAATGCCGAGAAAAATCACTTAAAGTTGGACGCTTGTAACGCTATGGTGACCCTACAGCCGATTCAAGCTGAAGGTGAGCGCAAAGTAAAGAGCTTACAGTGCACTCAAAACGAAGCTCCGAATCGTCTTCAGGCAGAAAAACAATCGTTTGTTCGTCAGATGCACGACCGCGATACTCGGTTCCTCATGTATCGTAAATAAGCCTGATGACTTGAAAGAACGGCTAGCGGAATCTGAACGTCAGCAAAATATGTCGACGCAGGAACTGGAATCGTTTCTGAGGTATGAAACCAAGCAGCGTGCTAAACACATGGCGGTCCACAAAAGATTTGAAGGCGAGTTGGC